ACTAAAAGTAAATGAGTGTAATCAGTGACCGCGTCCAACATTTCAAGCTGTCTCATGAAATAAACTCATCTCACTGGGCAAAAATCTGTCACCCGATTGGATGGGACACACTGTGGTTAACATTACGATGTTTGTTACTCATCTAACTAGTTACAGTTTCATGCAGTACTCGTTTTTTTAAAATAACATTTTTGTTTGTTTACTTAGTAATCACGTGATAACCATTAAATTCTATCCAAAATTACCCAGAATTTCAGAAAGTGTGAGATAAAAGGTTTCATAAAGTATATGGTTTACTATTGTTCAGGACAATTCTTATATGAAAATATCAAGCCTAACTATAACATACTTGTTATGTCTACTACATCCTTAAATAAATTATCATATATTATGGGTCAAAGGTCACGACCTACTTGCATAAAAATAACAAACTCACTTTTTGGAAAATATTTTTCTTGAAAGTATAATGGGCGTGTGGGCATTTTAAAATCAAACAAAATGGCGGGAAAAGGGGAAGTACAGGCAGAAAAACTCACCCTGGGGGCACGACTTGACCTTCTTTCGCCAACAAATCGTAAACGGTCCCCACCTCCGTTGATTTCAATTTTAACTTCTCTGATGCATTTGTGTTACCATTTTCTGCTTTCTCTTGTTCGTAGACAGCAAGAACAGTCCCCTGATTTACCTTTGAACCAGATTTGACCTTCCATTTCGTGATACGGCACGAAATTGTGCCTGGTAAACACACAGTTTTCAAGAGAGACGCCATCTTGAAAACTCGTTAACGGCGTTTCATGTCCGCGATTTTATATCAATTTTAGTAAAACTACGAGTCCAAACTGCTAATTGTCAATGATACAGCCAGTTTAACGAGAGTTAAGTGTTTTTACATCAGGGGATAAAATAAAGTGATCAGTTTTAACATGTTTATTGACAAGATATTCGTACTAATTCTTATGTGTAGCGAACGAGGTTAACATTGAAATGCATGATGGGGCTGGAGGGCGCCCTTTTTCAAAATTGAAAAACAAAATACTAGGTGGGCTGTCGAATTTACCGAAGTATCACGCTTGTGAAGGAAAACCGCAACTGTTACACATGTACTGTAGGATAGGGTAGGGTAAGAATCACTAGTCACTAGTGTTTATTCATTTAATTACATGTCTTGCATATTTATCTGCTTGTTCCACCAAAGAGACACTGTAGTTTCCGGTGGTTCCACTAGCTGATTTATCATTATTAATGTTACCAACTGGAACCATGAAAATACTGATCGCCTTACACAAGTATGATCCAAGTGTGGCAAAGTCTTCATACATCGGCTGAGCATTTAGCCATTGATCTCTCAACCATCTGGGAAAAAAACACCCCCACCCATACATAACACTGCATCTGCTTTTGTACAGCGCAATATTTTATATTTAACTCGCATAACAAGCCACTTCGCGATGAGCGTCTTTTGCGGTCAGTAATATTTACGAACATTTTTGTTCACTATTGGCGATCTGCTCCGCTAGGATTGCCCTTAAAATCAATTTTGTGTGTCTGTGTGTGTGATTTCCAGTGTGTTCACGTATTAATTCTTCTGTGATTGTTTGGCTTGGCCTATTTCCCTCAAACTTGGCAGGCAGGTAGGTCACACAATCACTCTAGTTATTAGGTAAAATCTGAAAGAAAAAAAATTGAGTGTGGACACAAAGTTACTATTTGAATTTTTAATATCTTTTTTCATTACTGATATCTTTTTTCATTACTCTTCTGTGATTTTTTTGGCTGGGTCGATTTGGTTCAAACTTGGCAGGCAAGTTACACCTTCACTCTAGTTAATAGGTTGTAAAATTTGTAAACAAATTCTGGCCCACCGTTTCCATGGCAACAGCAAAAAAACTGATTTTTTTTAATACCTTTGCGCCAAATGTATCTTATCCTACAATTCTAGGATTACTAAGCCTGAGTGTGGGCATACATTTACTGGTTGTTTTATGTCTATTTTCATTACCGAGAAACTTGACCTCAAAGTTGAGGTAACTTTTCACCAGCGGCTTTTAACTGCTCTGTGTTTTTTTTGGCTTGGCTGATTTTGTTCATACTTGACAGGCAGGTCGTACCGTCACTAATTGAAAACAAATTCTCGCTCACCACTGCCATGGCAACAGCCAACAACTGATTTTTTAATACTTTCGCCCCAAAATTATTACCTTCCACCAGTCTTGTAATAGCAGTGTTACTCGTAATACGATCATGTTTTTTTTTATGTTGGCTACTGTATCAACGTAATCCCAACACAACTTTGAACTATAAATGAACTGTAAATGCTGCCTTCGATCTTGAAAATATTATCAAAAAACAGTTGGAAATAATAAATTTAACAACAGAATAAGTGACTTCTGAAGACTGAACGTTTTTTTGCGAACTTCGTATACAGGGCCTGGTTTTAGTTATAAACAGACGTTAGCTTCACGTTCATGTTCTACCATGGCAACAGCCGAAAACATGATCGCCAACCAGCCTACTGGCTTGGCAATTCCAACCACCAATTAGACCATGTCACAGCATTTCCAACAAATCCAAAATCACTCGTTAATTTTGTTTACTTTACATTTGTACTATGATTACATTTGAAGTTATGATTAAATTTTAATGCATACATGTACACTCACAAAAAATACCCCAAAATAAGAGAAATTAGGATATGGCCTTGACAAAAAAGCAATAATTTTTCATGTTTTAATATTGCATTTTTTTTTCTATCTGTGTAACTTCATGTAGAAATCCTGATGAGATTTAAAGTTCAGTTCATGGAGGCTGCAAATTAATAAATATTGTATTCACTGACATTTATTTTGTATTTACATTTGCAATGAGTTCCACAGTATCTTTTTCTTACCGGTGTGGCTACAGTGACTATGTAGTGTTTTTGTTTTGTCGATTGTTGTCAGTTGTTTGTTTTGTGTTCTTGGAATTTTGTACAAAATCAACAACGGTTAAATAGGTATGTTATTTCCATTTTGCAGTACTAGTATATCATAGACAATAGCATGAGATTGTAATGTAAATTTCATTCATTAATGTTGTAAGATGACGCTTTCTCCGAGGCCTTCAGAGTCCCATGTTGACTATGTCCCGGCCCGTTTACTTACTTGTTGTCAGTGTCTGAGTGGTATATACAAAATACGACCAAGTAAACGTCAGAACATTAAAAAAAATAGAAACCTAAAAATCAGTTGCCCATGCCAAGAGAGCTGCAGAACCAAAACAATCTGTCGCCGTCCACAGCAGCGATATGATTTTACACATTGAAATTGAAAATCGCAGGTGTAGACATATTGCATAGAAATGATCGCTAAATACATCTATCCCGGCCAGCAATCGAATCATCAATCTTCATGAGTGACGTAACTGGCATTTCCATCTATTTCCTTCTATTCCCACTATCCTAAAACGCTCAAGTGAATGTTGTCTAATTCGCGAGTGTGCGTATTTTCGTACAGTGGCGTAAACATTGCTACAATCAAAGACGCGCTGAACAGAAAGTCAATTCTGGGCTAGTACCATTGTCAAATTCTGGGGAGTAGAGGACTATTTATATGGGAGACGTTACACTAAGGAACTATTAATATTGTTCGATTTGCATATAAACATCTTTTATTGGAACAGGGCATGTTCTATATTCACCAGAAAACAAAGTTGTTATGTTTCTAGACACACAACAGACTCGAAACAATGGAAACCGTCCGCTAAGAGCGACCTGTGTTTCCGAAAATCAAGTCTTATCGCCCTTGCGTTTCCGAGCAAAAAAACGTTGCAGCTAAAAACGACCGATTTTCGCCCAATCTTCTATGAATTTTTCATAATTTAGCTAATTCAGTCCAGCGGTTAGATAGGGTAGTTATTAGAGACGCCCGAAGAACCAAAATTTGGGACGTGAATCGCTCCAGGGACGAAAAATTGGCTAAAATAGCCAGGGGGGTGAAGGACTGCATTTCAAAAACATATTTTATATATAGGGTATATAATAAACTTGCATTTCGTTACGATTTCAACATGTACATAAGTCTGCACAAAGACAATGAGGCGTACCGGTAAGTGAATTTCGACGAATGTGAAATATGTCGTTGTTTTCATTTATCACCAATCAAATAATTTCTAGTTAGTTTGTGATAACAGTCTTGCCATGGAGCTAGAAATTTATTCATGAAAACTGCAGGCTGTAATTATCATTTTGATGTTAATGGTGCAAAAAATTGCTATATGGAATAGGAATTTTTATTTTCATGTTATCAATTTACTTTTAAAAAACAAAGTAAAAGTAGCTATCATAAAATATATAATCACTGTGAAATGAAATACTCAATTGTGAAGTACACTACATGGTACATGCGTGGAGCTAAAAAGCATGGTACTGTATAACTGATAAATTTCCTCTAAAACATTGCTGGTCATCAAAAAAACTATGATTAAAATAGAAATCCATGTTGAACTCAACTGTAACGTCACTAACATGCGAAACTTCTTATCACATAAATGTTAAAATTAATAAAATTGGTCACGAATGGGCAACAACTTGTGTTTAAAAAATAAACGATTTACGGCTTTGAATATCAAGATCTTTCCCACAGACAAGACAAGTAATCAACCATGACTTCGCTTGGAATGTATCCAGGACTGTGTTGTTGCCGGTGCCAAAGGTCGCTGAATGACCTCTGATGTCACTTGAAAGAAAATGCGTACATGTATTGTTTGTTATTTCATCTGCATATTCGTTTTTATGGGCGCAAAATATTTTCCTGTTCAGCAATATTAGCATAATTAAGTAAATATGCGGTCTCAATCATGGCATAAAAGGCTTATTTTAATAAGATTAATTCTGCCTAAAACAAAGCTATGTAAACAGCTTAAAACAGGCTTAAATAGTGTCCTCTCCCCTTCTCTTTTTACCTCCATGGTCTTGCAAACCCAACTCTTTCCTCAGGCTAGCTACCAATCTGTATTTGCTGTAGTGATGTTTTTCAATACTGACATATTTTTATCTCTCATTTTTATACATACAGTCTGTACCTACAGCATCATGGCATCTGCAGTCACACCATTTAGGACTCCGGGCACTACCCCATGGCCATCAAGACGTCATATGCCATACACAAAGACGCCAACATCCAGAAGATTAACTTGTAAGCGCAATTAAAAATAATGTCACTGAACATGAATTCATAAAAACAAAATCGCTACATACTTATTTTTAAAATTTTGTTGTATTGACATAATTTTGTAAGGATTCACATCAAATCAGCAATCAATTTAAACAATTGCAGTGAAGTATCATATATGTATAAATTATTACTTGTATTTATGCATGTTTAAGATCTCATAATCAATGCAAACTTTATAATCTTTGAATCCAGTAGTTTGTTTGTAGTTATTGGTCATAGCTAGAAAACATAGTCAGATAAGAAAAGAAAAAAAAGATTGTCTAGCACACAGCAATTCAAATGTCGTTCACTAGACTGAAAGTAAAATCAGTTTTTTTCAATAGTCGGAACAGTAAAAAACACACAACAGTGCAGGTTGCCCTCAGACAAACAGTGGTAAAGTATTTTCATATATTGTATGCCTATACATGTATCTAAGCTTTCAGATGATGTGTAGGTTGCTATAGTACCATACTGAGGAAATTTTAGATACTAGAGTAATGTCTGAAATACAGATCAGTTTTTGACTTATTAGCTACGCTGTTGACTTTGTCGAGCGGAGCTTATCATATGAGTGATTGTCTTGCGTCGTCCGTGTCAATGTTTTACTTTTTCGACTTCTTCTTGAAAAATACAAGCCTGAATGCTTTGATACTTGGTGTATATGTACCTTGGGTAGACCTCTCTCAGATTTGTTCATTTCATGATGATATCATACTACGTGTGGACTTCTTTCAGATTTGTCCCTATGCTTTTTGACTCCCATGTGCGAAGCACAAAATGGGAGTCTTTGCAGTTAGTGTGTCTGTATGTGTGCATGTGTGTGTGTATGTGTGTGTGTATGTGTGTCCGACTGTTCCACTGCTATCTCAAGAACCATACATCGGTTTTTGATGAAACTTGGTGCATAGATGCTCTGGGCCAATGCGCAGATTTGATAAGGTTTTGGTAAAAATCCATGCTCGTTAATTACCTAATTTGCATAATAATTAGCTAATTTTTAGCTGTTCTATGACTGTTCCACTGATATCTAAAGAACCACTCATTGGATTTTGATGAAACTTGGTACATAGATGCTCTGAACATATGCGCAGATTTGATTAATTTTTGGTAAAAATCCGTGCATATTAATTACCTAATTTGCATGATATTTAGCTATTTTTTAGTGGTTCCATGACTGTTCCACTGATATCTAAACAACCTCTCATTGGATTTTGATGAAACTTGGTACATAGATGCTCTGAACTAATGCTAGGTTTTGATTAGTTTTTGGTAATAATCCGTGGATACTAATTACCTAATTTGCATAATGATTAGTCAATTTTCGGTTTTTCCACTGATATCTCAAGTACTAATCATCACATTT